CGTCGCCGGCGGCAGAGCCGCACTGGCCGACCCATGTATATATATATAGCCATTCATACTTTATTGCACGTGGCCTTGTCATCTGGCCATTCCACATTACCAGCTATTATTAATTATTATATTGGCCAATTTATTTAGTCGTTCAATATTATCCGTTGCTAGTGGTTGCAACACTTGGCCATTTCACATAACTGTCATAATATTTTGATCAACAATTGACCCGTCGGCTACCATTAAATATTACTTGTTGGCGGCAGAGCCGCACTGGCTGGTCCTTGTAGCCACACATACTTATTTTCATATCACAAGGGTCAATTCATAAATGTCCACATATCTACGTACCAAAAAATTTTCACAATAGAAAGTTTCTAACATTTCATAATGACAATATAAACTATATCAATATTGGTCTTAAAATGAAACTTTCATTATTCTAGACATAATAAAATTAATGAAAATAATTTTTTATAATGTTCATTTTAATTATAGATGAAACTAAATATTTTAATGGAAACAATGTTACTAATAGAATTTCTATAACTTATCCCTTCTCAAATAATTGGTCATCAACCCCACTCTCTTGCTTCTATCGTCCACATAATTTTTTTTTTATTTTATTATTATTATTTGCTTTTCCCAATATGGAACTTATAACAAGGTCCCACCAAAGCTAGTGGGCCTTGGTTTATTATTTAATATTATTCACATGATGTGTGATGAAAACTTAACACTCTCCACCAACAGAAAATTATCAATTCCAAATACCACCATAGATATAATACTAACCTGCGAGTAGTTCCTCGTCGGAGCTCAAAAGTCGGTGCTAAGTCGTTGTAGTTTACTATCGATCTCGGTGTTGCAGACGATCTCGACTTGGTCGTCCTCGTCCTCCTAGCTGGCTACAGAGCATCAAGACTTCCTGTTGGGTGCCATTTCTTCTCCATCTTTTTTTTTTTATCATAAAAGCTGGTGGGTGATTAAATTTAGCAGGGACAGAATAAAGTTTTGGTTGCTAGTGACCATAAGCACAACTGCCACCACGTTTCTTTCTTGTCCTCCACCACCTCCTCGGTCTCGATTAAGGTCATGATATTTTTCTTTCTTTTACTTCTTTCTTTTATTTTTTCAATAACTGGAGGCGGTGGAAGGTCTCAAATATTTTTATTTTTTTTTCAGAGTGTTGGTCATGTTTGGGCGAATTCGGAAAAAGAATAAGTGATCAACATGACGAAGATAAAAGTTCTCAAGATAATTAGAAAATAACGATTTGTAATAATTCGATTTCTGATACGGAGGATCATCTCTAAGATGCAACCGTAGAGCATAGTCTCATCATACTACAAATCGAGCTCTAGAAGGCAGAGACTCGTGCTGATAACGTGTTATAAAACTAGAGAGAAAAGAGAGAGAATAGAGAAAATGTTTCTCTTAGGTGCAATTTTCATTATAACTGAAACTCCTATTTATAGGAAACTTCTGATGGCACAACCGTAATAATACAATTACATCAGGGACAAAATAGTCATTCACACATATTATTTTATAATACATATTTCACAACAGTATCTTATTAATTTCTCTTATTTTACTTAATTATTTATTTTTGTCTCCATTTAATAATTAGTTTTGGAAAAAGAAAGCATAGGATGTGAGTTATATATGCACACAACTCCATTGGCTTTTGGGCTCTCCACAAAATTTGTTGGGAAAAAAGAAAAATAAGAGAAATTTTTACAGAGAAGTAAGAAGTAGTTGGATGAAAAAATAGTAAAATCGAGATTCAAGAAGGTTTGTGTGTTCTACGGGAGCAGTGCTGGAAAAAGAGAATGTTACAGAGAAGCAACTCTCGAGCTAGGGCATCAACTGGTAAAATATATTTATTATTATTATTTTTTGTTTTAATTTTTTATGGGTTTTGAGTGGTGATGACGTGGCTGTGTGTGTGTGTGTGTTTTGATTTTAATTTATGGGTTTTTGTTTTAATTTCATTTATGGGTTTTTGTTTTAATTTTTCTACAACACAAATGTTGTAGAAAACTGGTGAAACTGTTGGGGAGGTGAGAATGGTGGCTAATATGCACCAGAGGAAGGCTGAGAT